CTGTTCAGAAGCCAGAGGGTACTTTAAAAACATACACTTGGTCTTTTATCAAGTCAGACATAGCTTATGTGTGCTGTATGTGATTCTTTGACCTTCCCCTTGATGTTGAACATGCCTGTTCATGCTGTGATCGATAACTAAAGCAAGACGCTACAATTACAACATCTTGAATATGAAACCTACGGGTGTCCAAGCTTCTAAGTGACGACAGGGCTGATGGCAGTCGGTCATTTTCTGTTTGATTTAAATCTAGTTGTGAGTACTATTACACAAATTTTATTGTGTTTGCTGTTAAACCAGACAACTGTCATTTCTTTGTCGTTTCTATCATAAAAATGTTTCAACGTTGCAAGCCTGTCAAAGTGATTCTCCTTTTAATCTTTTCTGTATGTTAAGAAAGGACTTCTGATTGTGAACACAAAAGCCAGGGGGAGAAAGACAGGCCTTTGTTGTAGTTCTTTTTATCTCTTGCAACCTTTGATGGTATGTGACAAAATAAGCCAACCGTGTGGGAGGTCTCCTCAGGAAGTTTAAGCTGCTTAGTCCGATTGTTTGAAACATCCACACGATATTTTCATTTTTGAAACACTTGATTGTTTGCACACAAAAAAAAGTGTTAATTATGTGTATTACAAACAGATGTGACGAATAAAGAAACTTTGTAAGTTGAAAGTGCTATATTGATATTTCAGTTAATGCTGGCATCTTCTTTTGAGAATCGTCTAAGGGGAATTTTCACCAGTCCTATTGATTTATTCTAACAAAGAAAATAAGTTTCATTTTGTGTCACTTCTTTTTCAGCAGCATTGTTTAACATTCAGGACCAAGCAAATACTGTATCCAACTTGATAATGAAACAGAACTGCAGCCAAGGACAGAAAGTAACATCAAAGTCAAAGGAAGGAAGTAATGACTCTGCTCATTCAGTTTCAAGAAGGAAATTATTTTCGAGGGAACACTGCAGACAATGTAATGATAAACGGGAAAACCAGCATCTCGATTCACTGTTTGGAATTTGACCCGTGGACTGTTCTATGTCCAGCCTGTGTCCCAAATTATTAAGGAAAAGCCCAATCCATTAGACACATCTGTATTTTTCCGTTTTCCATAGCTGGCTTAAAAATGATCTGAGGAACGTGACAAAGGCAGATGCTTTCAAATAGGACACGAGGGGTCATTGAATGGTTAGATGAGAATGAAAGTGATGTGAATCAGTTAATGACCTGTGGGACAATGGACGGGGGTTCCGGAGACTAAGAGGTTTTTGTTGTTTTTTTCCTTTAAATTCTCACACATCTGTATGATACAATACACAAAAACCAGACATACATTTTGACTGACATTTGTTAAAGGCACATGGAACTTTTAACTTTATTAATTAAGTACAGAGTGTATTTAAGTGCATATAAACCATTAACTTTAAATTGGAATAAGTTTACAAACTACAGGTAAATTATTTAACTAAGATTTTAACACAAAATGACACTTAAATCCATCCCCAGTGCATGATGGGAGACTACGCAGCAGACTAACTTCATGTAGGTGCTTCACTCAGCCAGTCATGAGTGCTGATAATTGTTTCAACTCTACACACGTTGCCTTTATTCCAAAGTAAGAGGGCACTGATCAATCTAACATTAACCAGGCAAACCTGTAACTGCCTTATTAGCTGGATAAATTACCAGTATCATTTCAGCCTAATAACAACATGTTAGCCTGGATTAGTTAAGCCACGGAGGAGGAACAGGGCCTTCAGAGGTAAATCTGCATTTGTCATCAACTCGGATGAAACTGGAGCACCCGGAGAAAACCCACGCAGACGTGGGGGGAACAAGTAAACTAATTTTGATATGCATCTTACCACTAAAGTACACTACAACAACACAGGGAGTCATGTGAAAACATTCCTTTTCATACAGGCATCGGAAGAACAACATGAGGTTAAAATTAACTTCATCCTTTTAAGGGCAGCTTTCCTCTCTATCTCACAATCCATCAGTAATGTCACAGATGTATATACTCATCCAACTACAACAATATAAGTAAGGATTGAAAATATGGCATTCCTACTTTTTGGAATAATATAATGCTGAAACAGAAGCATTTCAGTGATGTTGCCTTTACCCGACATGACATTGGCTCTCCCTGTGTAGGCAGAAAGAGGGGAAAGTTTCCATACATTCAATCAAGGACATTTTTATTATCTTCATTATTAAAACGAGCAGTGATGTGGTCAGGCAAGACTTTAATAACAAATTGTCACTGATTGAAGAAGGAGTTATTGGTACCATAAATGCTCCAAAATGAGAAAACTTTATGAAGCTTTTTAAGTCGGGCATGTGATAACTCACGTGCAGTAAGAGGGATCTCTAATAATTATTTTGTTGACACTTTTACTCCAGTCCCGCGGCCTTTCCTCTGTTAAATAATGAAACCGAAAGGTCCATCTCTCCCGTGCCCTGGGAGCTCTCTTTATGGATGATAACCTTTCCAGTGTGCCAGGATAAGTTCCGCTACGTTAGCCTGCCAGCTAGTGAAATGGGGAAAGATTATGAGGTCCAGATTAACATTGGCACCACAATTGTAAATGCTGTGCTATCGGCAAGTAATCAGCTTGTACTCCCCTCTTAAGTTTGCTATCAGTGGAATGACCCGCTCCACTCCGGTGACCTCGGTTGTGCATGTTTGGAGTGTCAATTATTTCAAGCTGGTGGAAGTTTCCATCCGAAACGAGTGAGGATGGAGAGGCTAAATTACACTGAGGGAAAGAGAGTTAACAAGGAGTGTGTTTAGGTGTGTGCGTCCTCTAGGGAACAATCACAGGACAGGTCGGCCCATCTAACAATGGCTCACCTCCTCAGAACTGGACAGTACTGTGGGAACCGAGCACAGAGGCTCATGGGAAAGGAGGGGGATGTTTGGAGGTGCTCCATTGTTCTTGCTGGATGGTGGGGATAATGGGTGTGGGTGATGCTGGTTGTTCTTTTTTTCCTTTTCTTTAAGGAGGTCCAAACCAACATCCTGAGTGGACAGGCTGGAGACAGTGTTCCCTCTGCTGCAGGAACAATAGAGCCGTCTGCCTGCTGGAAGGGCACCACATCCCCTATTAGCAACCACACACATACACAGAATCCAGGAGTACAGGTATTGCTGTATATCAAACTATACACAGAGGACACGCCTAAACATAAACATATAGAGGATCTCAGTCAAAGTAAAAAATATTTGCAGGTATATTCTCACAGGGACATTTAAAGAATAAAAAATATAACAATATTAATTTTAATTAAAGCCATAACTGCTTTTTTGGAAATGTTCCCATCCTTTAAAAACAGGCAGGTAGAGTATAAACTATATGGTTGTTGAGAACAGTTATTTCAAATTAAAATGTGCTGATTATCCATAAAAAAAACACTTAGTATTTGCAGGCGGAATTCAGTATATTGTTGTTTTCCTCTTTCCTCTTAGAGCAACCAGACTCCATTGACAAAAACAGTAATTTTATCTTGCAGAACAGGAGTTGCTGGTCTCCTGCTTCTTTAGTTGGATATTTTGTTTATGTTGTTGTGTGTCTTTGGTGTTTTAACGTTAGCATGGATCTGTGTTAAATCTAATGTGTTAAACTCCTATGGTTAAAACTAACCAATCAAGGCGGCAACTTTCTTTTTTCTGTGAGGTCAAATTACTGTTTTTGTCAATAGAGTCTGGTGGCTTTGGCTTTTGCAATATGCAATGTAAGTGTTGGTTAAACAAAAAGGATATAACTTTAAAAAAAAGCTCTATGTCTGTAGGGTCCTTTCCATAATGTTGTTAGACACTAATAACAATCTGTCAGTGGCGAAACCAAGCACTTTTAGTGGACATACATTGACTGTGCACAATACCTGGAAGGATTACGTTGCAGTTTTTTTCACGTCTGCCGCCTGCAGTGCTCTCACTCAGTACGGGACCAATTTCAAAAATTGTTGTCCCCATTAGTCACTCAGGCACAAAAACATAATGAATATGATTCAGGTTAAAAAATATATAAGTTTGACAAATTATAACCTGAAAAGGCTGTTGTTGTGAACATGTTAGCAAACAGTTGCTTAGTTACACTTCCAGCCGACACTGAACAACATCAGCATTAATTTTGAGTCATGTTTCTGGCGACTTGACAAATGTAAGTCCATTATTCACTCTCATATAGCTATTTTAGTCTCCACAAATCCCTGGCTGAAAGTACCTGGCTTTTTACTTGCTACATGCTCCACTACATTTCACAGTTAGTTGCTAACATTGTTTGTCATTTGGTTGGTAAGTGGTATACTGTCTTTTTAGCAGAGAATTTTCACTGAAAACGGACGGAAAGAAGGTTGATGAGAGCAGTGAGAGCGAACCACAACAGTAAAGTTGTGAGATGTAAAACAAGACCTGAAATATGCTAAAATGGTCCTTAGAGCTGAGGGGAACTGCATAGTTGGACGATGATTCTCTGCGGGTTTGTCAGAAATTGTCACTATGAGCATTACATTCACATTTAGTCATCGGACTTACTGTTAATGTAGAAATATTAATTAGTGCAGCTTTAAAATAACTAATTAAAAAAATAACCCAAAAAGGCACGTCTCTCCACTCTCTCAGGTCACTGTGGTACTACAACAGTCCTAAAACCTACCTGTAATTCAACCATACCACCATATAAACATGCGCAAGCCTATTCAAGCCCTGCACCCCATCTCATATACACACGCACACACACTCTCTGCGAGCTATAAGTGGTACCAGCCCTCTTAATTGACTCCAGCCACACAGCCGGCACTCTGCCCATTTCCCTCATCCTTCACTGGCTTTTGATCAGGTGGCCTTGACATAAGGTCAACAAAACACAGGGGAACCGGGACGAAACAATGCAACAATGCCCACTGCGGCCCCATTGTCAGGGTGAACAATTCCAAACGACCAATCCCTGGGGAGAAACAATACTGGAACAGGAAACAGATACAGACCCCCTTCCTGTCTAGAGTTTAAATTTAGGAACTGCTCAAAGCACGTTTGTGTTGTTTTTTTGAGTCGCACAAATGCTCAAATTAAGTGGTGTGTGCTTAGACGTGACATTGTTATGGATACAGAGAAAGTCGTGTGTCGATATTGTGTGTGTGTGTACGTTGAGTGAAAGAAGGGAAGTTGGCACACAAGGCCTTTCATGCATACACACACTGTAACATAAACACTAAACCCTGAAATGTGGTATTTGCTGTGCGAGGCGCATTATTTCCAATTGAATCCAAAAAAAAGAGATATTGCATAACGTCGATTAACCTCATTCACCCTGCTGCTTGCTATTTTAAGCCTTGCCAGTCCCTTGTTTGTGTGTGTGAAAGTCGGAGTTGGTCTTTCCTAACATCTTGAGTGTGTGAGTGCCTTGTCTGGCAGAAACATGGGGCTTTTGGCAGTACAGCTGGCAGGAAGTATGACAACAGACCAACCTGTTTTGCACAGGGCTGGCACATAGGTGTACCCATTAGACCCTCCGTAGAGACCTTTCCGACCATTGCTACTTGAGTCTAAAAGTATCTTGTATACAGCGGTGTGTGTGTGTGTGTGTCTGCGTACACTCATTCACCAAACTGAGAAACTGCCTTTCTTTGTGTGTGATTAGCTGCCTGTGGCTTCACCAACAGAGCGAGGAAATGCATCAGCAGTGACTCCAACAATGTCAGGAAGCACAGTCACAAATGGCAGCTGATCCCAGTGGTTGCATGTGTGACCATTAAAGATGACTTGTCACACAGATCGGGCTCTTCCCAGCTAATGACTTCCATTCATTTTTATTTGCACAGCCTTACGCAAACAAATATCTCCATTGTCAGGTTTTTTTGTAATATCCTCTGAAAGCGATGTGTGTTTTAAATGATGATGATGGTGAGTTTGGGAAATAGTCTAGATGTGAATAATAGGTAATCAAACCCAAGGAATGGGAAACACTTTACTTATGTCCTGTTGTCCTGAGAGAGGAACCTGGAGCCAAAACATCACTTTCATCTGCGCTGTTAGGGGCCAATTCTTTTACTAGAGGGCAGATATTGACTCTATAGGGGGAAAAATGGCTGTTGGAGCAGCAAATAACCTGCACTGTTGTTTTCATCCTTAAGGTTTATATTTGCTTCACTGAACAGAAGGTGAGAGTTCACTCTGTCGAAAGAATAAAACCGGGCGTTAGGTTCTCTGTCTCGATAAGCTACAAGGAAGATGGATGCAAAAGGGAGCTCAGCTGTTCCGCTGCTAGCTTTGGTTGGCAGGCAGACGGCTGATACGGGTCGCCCCGGTGCAATCTGTTCCGTGACCCCGTGGCTTTTTGTGTGAAACACACGCATGAACAACTCACACCGACACATGCATGCCAGTGCACACACATGCACCCACCCACCTGGACCGAGATAACAAGACTGCACGGGGATGCCAGCCAACTTCTTGTGAACAGACATGGAACTGGGCAGCTTCGGCAGGCTCTGTTTGGATTGTTCTCTCAACAATATCTGCCAATTTGTCCTTGACACGGGGAAAGGCTGCCCGCAATAAAACACATTCCACTGTGAGGAAAAATGATTCTTCCTATTGTTATTAAATCGTAAAACATTTTGAGAAAACTGCAGCAAAATAAAGTCAGCTTCTTTTTAATTTCTGTTTTTCAGCTGCTTGTTGCAGTTCTTGTTTGGCCTTACACAGTTCAAGCTGTTTGTTTTATGAGAAACTGTCTCACTTATATTTCCCATAACCCCCCTTTCCTGCTATAGATAACTGCTTATCGTCATGGAGACAGCTGGGTAAATTGCTGGAAATGAGCGCCGTATTGCAGAGCGCTACCGCTGCTGCCCTGAAAAGACATACGGCTACATTCATTCAGAGCCTCAGCGAGCACCTCTGTTGAAGGTGCTGAGGTTTGGATTTTATCAATTGCTTTCCGCGAAAACAGTGTTAACAGTCAAGACCCCCTAGGGGATATTAAATAGAGCCAGAATAAAGGGCCGTTCCATCTTCACTGAACTTTTACTGGCATATAATTGATGCCTTTCTTCTCTGTACAGCCAGAGCTACGGATTTGAAAACAGCCATTAAATCAAAGTTATTTCCCTCCATTTTTTCCCCTCAGGAGGTTATGCTCATGATACCCTGTAAGGCTCATCCACTTCTCCACACCTCCGTCTTTCTATTATTCCCAAAGCCCTTTCTCTTGAGTGATTCAGTGCCTCTGTATTGTGACAGTATTTGGATAGCGGAAAGTGTATGGTTGGACAGAAGCAATACACACTTCAGAGACATTTTCCCCACACAGAAATCTCATCCCTGTATTCAGAAAGGAAAGGGAATAACACCATCATCTACACAAAGGATATGCTTGTATGGAATGTAGTCTCTAGCAGAAATAGTATATGTTGTATTGCATTAATAATTCAGTGTGTCATTGATTCAAAATGTTTTAATTTGCTGAGTGATCATATGATAATTACATCATAAATTGAAAGTGTCTTAATAAATCTATGGTACTTTAAACTTTATTTTAAACAAAATAATAAATATTAGCACTGATATTTCTTCAAAATACTTTAAACTTGAAACATTAAATACAGTTTTCACATAGTTAAGTCATTTCCTTTCATTAAGTTTGCACATTTCTGTACCGCTTTCAGTCCATTCAATGTTCAACCACCAATGCATCTTTTAAGTTCTATCTCAAGGTTTGAGTTTCAAACTGGATGCTTTTGTTCCATTATTCAGCCCTCGCAATCTAGTATGCAGTGGTCTTCTCTCTCCCTTTTTTCTTCATAGCTAAAATAATTTGGTCACTGGCAATGAAGAGGCATTTACAATCCCAGCATTCTCATGGTTTGGCTCCCCTTCTCTTCCCCCAGTCCATAACCCCAACTTGAGTGACCAAAACTCACTGGGTGAAAGGGGGGAAATACATTGTGTGTGTGCATGCATGCATGCCTGCATCCACGCAGCCATTATCCTCTTGGGAGCTGAGCAGGATCCAGAGACCAGTACATTCCACAGTGTGAACACAGCCATGGGGAGAGGAGGGGGTTTCAAAGAACTCCAGGGGTTACAGTGCAAATCTCAGAGGAATACGCTCAAATGTGGTTCTGCGTCATACTCTCCCTCACAGAATAGCCCTCCGCAGACCCCGGAGAGCCCCCCCCCCCTCCTTCCCACTGTCACATTCAACACTATAAGCCATTAAATGTAACATGAAGGCATCTTATGACTGGATCTTCTCTCATTGTGGAGTCTCATTTTCTTGGCCTTGGGCAGTGCTCTCAAAATGTTTAGTTTTGAATAGGTCAATTCATCTGGTAAATGACTGTTTGAATGTCTGCCTGCCTCTGAGGCATGGAGTTCACAGTGCAATAGTTGTTCTTCATTTCTCCCTCGTTTGAGCCTTCACCGCGCACTCCTGATAGTCAAGTGTCATGTGCAGGATAACATTTATAAAAAGCTGGAAGACTGACAAACCAAACACAGCTTTCACAGTCATAAACATTTCCCCTTCTTACTGCATCATACATAATGCTTCTGTTTTGAGTGTCCCTTACGAGCACCCTTAGTGTTTTGCCCAGTGTGGTATGCATGTTTCTTATAATGGACTTTAGGGGAATGTGTTGTCCTCATAGCACCCATGCAGTTCACATAACTGGGAAGCATGTCACTTCCATTCTCCCCGGGTCCCCAGTTCACCTCTATCGCCAGATCCCTGTAGCTCTCGCAGGGGTTGGGGTAGCACGCAGCCTCACCCTGGATGGGGAGGTCAACATGGCTCCCTGCTTTGTAAGACTGTGACACATCCATTTGGAGTCCTGAAGCCTCCTCTTGCGCTGTAACATGCTCTGCCCGAGGCCGGAGGTCCTGGAGCTGGATGCGGTAGCGTTTCTCTAGTTGGTGGGAGATGGCAAGCTGAAGGAGGTGGAGGAGCTCCAAGAGGTTGAGAATCAGGGAGATGGCAGCGATCACCTGAGTGTAGATGGTGAAGACGGTCTTCTCCGTGGGTCGAGAGACAAAGCAGTCCACCGTATGGGGACAAGGGAGCCTTGTGCACTCAAACTTTGCTGCCATTAAGAAGCCATCGTAAAGGAACCACAGCCCTGCGATGAAGCCAGCTTCTAGCAGGACTTTTAGCAGGATGCTGAATGCATACGCACACAGAAGCCTGCCTTTCAGTTTAGGGGCCTCTGGAGCAGCTTTGTAAGCTTTTCTGCCTTTCCCACCATCCTGTTGTTTTTGCTCCTCCTCTGCATCGTCTTTAGTCATATTGTTATTGTCCCTTTCTATTACAATATCTCTTCTGTTACTCTCACCGCCTCCTTCTTCCACCTGTGTCTTATTCCTTTCCTCCTCATTTTTCTTGTCCTTTGCAGCCCTTATAGCCACATATCCGAAGTAGAAGATCGTCGGCGTGGAGACAAAGATGACTTGGAGGACAAAGTAGCGAAAGTGGGAGATGGGGAAGGCTTTGTCGTAGCACACAGCAGTGCAGCCAGGTTGTACCGTGTTGCAGACGAAGCCAGCTTGTTCATCATCCCAGGCAGATTCGGCGGCAGCTCCCAGTACCAGCATGCGAAACAGGAACAGTACGGTAAGCCAGACACGGCCAATGCCTGTTGAATACTCCTGGCCCTCCTCCAGCAGGTGCTCCAGGAAGGACCAGTCAGCTCTGGACATCCTCTGCTCCTGGTAGATGAAGGCCAGAGGGTGGAGAATGAGAGAATGGGAACAAACTGTTACCAAAACAAACCAACTTTAAATCACCTGTTTAAACCCTCTCCTGCCTGTTTTGTTGTGAACTACTGTATCGGGTGCTAGGACCCCGTTATACCTGCATGTTGGTCTAGCTGTAGTTGTTATGCGGGTTATACAGTTTCATTCACTGCCACATTGTTGGACAGATTGACTTGAATGTGCTACTTAACACCTAATTGGTGTATTTTATTTCCACTAGAGAACACTCAAGGGTTTTCATAAACGCACAGCTAATGCTTAAGTGTTTAATGGTTTCTATAAGCGACAAATGAGCTAAGTTTATCCAGCCTTTTCAGTATAATGGTATCTTTTTTTTTTTTTTACTGAGGAACGTGTATCTGGCTGCAGCCCCCTATTAGTTCTTCCATGAGCTCACACCGTTGTTTGGGTGGGCTCCAACTCCTCATCATCAAGACGTGAAAAACAAGGCCTCCATACACTAAAATGAACTAAAACAAAAACACATGGCACTAAAGTTCACATTTAATACGAATGGAAATAGCGTACGCTTTCACTGTTCACTGTAAAACTGGAATGAATGTGTGCAAGAGAGGCCCCTCAGACCTTTATACTATACAGCGTTGTTATATGCGCTAATTTTTCTGGTTGGATCTAGCTAAGTCAGGTCATACTGTGACTGATTTCATGAAAGTATTGAGGGGGGGTTGATGGAAGTTTTTGATCATAAATTACACAGTCAGTGGCTGGTGGGAAGCTTGTGCACGTGCACACTCTCTGACACACACAAACACACGCATCTGAATAAACATCCTGTGTGGGGGAGTTGAGACACTGCTGTGACACTTGTCTATTTGTTTAGACTGTTTATGTTTTTCAGTTTTTTTTCCACTCTGAGAAAAAAAAACTTCCCAATAGTAAAAAACTCTTCTGACAGGATGAGACAAGACAATGGACTGTCAAGGATGCTGGCCCTCCGAACAGGCACAAAAAAGTCTAACTGGACTGATCCACCTCTGGGAGTATTGTCTTGAGTTCCTGTTATCTCTACCTTACATACCACAGAATATCAACAGACTAGTTCCATATCAGCAAGAGATAGAAAACTAGTATATAAGTCTATATTAAGTATCGTTTGCTCCTAATAAATCACAGTAAAGTCATTCCAGAGTGCTGCAGTTCATTTGGATTTTCCATATAAAGTATATCATAGTATAAAATACAATAAGACACTACTAAAGTGTACTTTAAAAGTCATTTTAAATTCACTTCCCTTAGTACTGGCATATTTTATATTGTTTTAAGAAACCTTATGGATTTTTTTCTTTAAAAAACATCGAAATCAAGGCAGACTAAATATATAAATAATCTTAAAACTCAATAGGACCACCGAGTTATTAACATTCATACTGACAGTACAACAGACTGGACTTGAAAAAGAAAAGACACCCATTAATTAACTAAAAGGATATGGAACATAATAATACATAGCAAAAGAAAAGTACAATTAAAAGTGAATAAAAGTGTGCTAGGCATTGTCAGCCGTTTGTAGTTATAATCTGATTCTTTGGCGCAATAAAATAAATATCAAATACAGTACTGCTGAGAAAAAGTGACCAGACTACCTCACAAACATAAATGAATCCCAAGTGTTACATCTCTCACCTTTCTCTCTCGTGAAGCGGGGGTTGTCTCCTTACTGGCTTCGTGGCCTCAGCACCCAGTGTCCTCTCCAAATGTCACCCTGCGCTCCTTCCACTGGCCTCGCGGTCTGAGTCGGGTTGTGTTCGCGTGCTTTAAAAAGAATCGATGTAATCGGAAAAAGTGGGGAGAACTTTCCCATGGCTCCTGCACTGGATCCTCCCTCAGGAACTTCATCCAGGAAATGGGATGGATGAACTCAAAGCAGCTCTGGTTAACTGCGCCCTGCTTTAACTTGTGCCGACAGACCACCACGTCGCATTAATGAGACGCCTGCCTTCGGTAATTTAAAGGTTACAAGGAAAAAGGGGAATACACTGGAAAAAGAGAGGCGGTGTTTAGTGTTTTACAGGGAAAAAAAACAGTTTCATCAACAGTAGCACCGTTATAAAAAAAGAAAACACTTTTTCTTGCACTTTTTCACTTTTAATTAAAAACCAAGCAGGCTAATATGCCACATGTTGTTATAAAAATACACCAGCCTCCTATTATTCTCTCTAAATGCCTCAATATATGATTATTTATTATTATAACAGACTTCTAATCATTTTTATATCTTTGTCCTTGGAGCGCCAGTTGAATTTTTCATCATAAGCCTTATCAGATGATGATTAAGGGCTCCATCTGACTGCCATTCAGGCTGTAATTTTCCATTAGTCCACGCAATGGCGCCAGTCACCTTATTTCCAAGAAGCGCATGACGCACCGATCGATGGAGCGCCCACACTTGGCTTCACTGAAACGTGAGCCACGCTGTTTGAGTTGCTCCATCGGTTTGTTGACCTCCTTCCAGGGCTTGTATCGTTGACCATGAGTTGGTCAAACTCACAGCTTTTTGCTGAGGTAGCTTCATCTTTAATAACTGCATCAATTTAACCCCTCTAAAAGATCTTTTTATCTGTCTGATTGTGCTCTTTCCAATCAATGTACAAAATCAGGATGAAACAATGGTGGGAAGTACAATTACTCAAGAGCTGCATTTAAGTACAGCTTGCTTATCGGAGTATTTCTATTTTCTGCTGCACTTCCTCTCCCCTGAATCGACAAAGGAAATACTCCACTACATTCATTTGACAGGTTTAGTGAATAGTTTATTTTTTAGATTAAGATTTGGATATAAAACATATTTTATATAAAAAATAATGCAATACTACCTAAATGTATATACAGCTTTTAAAATAAGCTCCACCTTGGTCAACTACAACATTAATGTACTGTCAATGCATCCTTAAAAAGGATCCACTGGTAATAATATGACGCTGACAGGAGCTATTATGCAAAATAAGTACTTTTAGTTTGTACTTCTGTGCTTTTACTGAAGTACATTTTTGAATGTAATGTAGTGTTGTATGTCATTTTATGTCAGTAAGTGATCTGGATACTTCCTCTCCCTACTGGAATGTAGTATTTTAGTACTGTAGATAGTTTAATTTACCTCCAAGGTAAGGTAAGGGTCAAAGTAAATTAGTCATTAATTTAGCAAGTATGTGTGTGTGCGTGTGTGTGCTAGAGTCAAGTGATTTAGATAGATAGATAGATAGA